TTCAGTTGTCACATTAGAAGATAAACAAGTGGATCTTACAATGTATAAGTAAAAGTTGCGTGCAATTAATTTAATTTCGCTTTATTGATGAATAAAAGCCTCGGTTGGAGCCATAGAAATCTGAACAGAATTCTTTGGAATTAAATTTTTTTATCTAGAGAAGAATATTTTCAGACTACCATTCGTAGAAATCAGACGTAAATCACTGAACTATTGATGGAATCAGACACAACTTTCGCCACATATTTTAATTATAACCTCCAACCTTTTTTTAGCAAATTTTGGCTTACAATTTAATCCTGATTTTTCATAAAATTTATTTTTAATTTTGCAAAAATATTATGTAGTTTCCATTTCATAAACAATATATCGAAGTTTTGTAGTGGGCGTCGTTACTTACCTGTTTGCTTGCAGAAATACCAGAGTCTATCGAAATCACACCTTTCGCTATAGAGTGCTACAGAATCATTTCCAAGCAGCTTCACGACACCGCAGTCGTACTTGTTACTGTCATCGGGTGCCCACCCGTCAGTCTCTTCTTGCCTGTTGAAATCAATAGTATTTCAATTTGCAAACACTAATTTCAATTCATTTAAATTTGATGTAATAATTAAGATTTCCATAAGAGTTAAACCTCGAAATAGCTATCAAAAGCTTTTCGTTAGAGGGCTGCAGGTATCTGCACTGTTATTATTAAAGAAGTTGTCCTGTTGACGAACTAGGTTTTAAGAGGACCATTTTGTAATGTCTGTTATCTTCTGCATAGATACGATGACACCCAGTCGGTACAGTGAGTTTAACTGCCGTACCGATGGGCTTGGGCTCGAATCCCTAAGAAGGCATGGATGTTTTGTAAGCGTATAATGTCTGTGCGGCAAGATAGCATTCAAAATACGCAGGGAGGCGAAAATCCTCTCAATAGGTTTGTGGTAAGGAAAGAGGAGTGGGAGATATTTGGACCGCAACCTAAACTGTAAATTTTGTATCTTTTTGTGTCTAATTTCTAACGTACTTTATTAAACTTTTACAACTTTTTATTAATGGGAATTATTAGTATTATCTAACAACAAGAAATGTAGTTAAAATATATATATGTGGATCTATAACCTTTTGTAGAATTGTTAAAAATCTCGTTTAGCCTGCTGGCTGCAACCACGGGTAGAAGTAGCAGGTATCAGATGGCATTTGCCAAAATGATATATACACCGAGAGACTCGTAAAGTTGGTGTGATCGTTGGTCATGTTGTTAGTGTTTCCGGTCTCTTCACTTGCTATACTCATTGTTCAGAATATTCTATTATTTGTGCGTTTAATTTTGAGTATATGTACATTCTTTGTTACTTGTCAAGTTATTTTATACCTCAGAAAAGTAGTACGTCTTGTCCTGTGCACATATGCTATGTAATACTAGTTGTTGGACACATCCATCAGGAATTTTTATGCCTGCCGGCTTTGCCATTTTGTTTTTTGCCCGAAGTCTATATCCACTGCTGATGGGGCAGCTTAGCGCTACGCTCAGACACTAGTAAGCTATCTTGTAATTCGAGTAAACGAGTAAACTTTGTTAACGAGAGTAAACTGTGTTCCTCCTCAATGTGTGTGTGTGTGTGTGTGTGTGTGATTATGGCAAAGCCTCGAGGGCTATCTGCCTAAGGGGAGGGATGCCTTCGTGGAGGACTTTCTAAGGGAAACTGGCTCGTATACACGTTACACATGGGGAAAACCACGAAAACGCCCATGCAGCCAGCCCGTTCGCGGGATTCGAACCTCGGACCGAACTACCAGTGTTCAGCGACTTTACCGCTCGGCCGCTGGTGGACCGTGTGTTCCTCCTCAAAATTAAAGCAGAAGCTTAACAGCTAGCAAGGTCTAGCGATTCCTAATACATACCTATGTGCCGGCCTTGCTTCAACCTGAACATACATAGGAACGGTTATTACCATCGTCGTCATGTCATAGTCTGACTACAATCACCGTTCTTTCTGGAATATTTTTTCAACAAATAGCAGATTTATAAACCTCATAGAGAGTGATATATTATGTAAGATGGAAGCGTACCAATTTAAAGACTCCATCCAAAACAATGACTTCATGTGGTAAGACTATGAACGTTACCAGACTATTTCCCTTAAATTAAATGTCTCAAATGCTCAGTTTTGTTTTTTCAGTATACCATGGTATAGTAACACAACAGAATTGAACATCTGCAACATACAATCTAATCAAAATTCTCCTTATTACTATTTTATTATACCATGGTACATCTCACCGGCTTCGCTGCTAATCAAAAATTAAATCTTGCCTGTTGATCTATTTTGGTTACACTTCGTATCCATGATGTCTATAATGTAAATATGCCAATAGTTTCGAAAATGTGTAGGGGTAATGAATATCTTAATGATACCACACTTTGATCACTACGTTTATATATCTTTTTATCTGTTTAACCACGGCGTGGTGCTTGACATCTTGATAATACATGTTAATACAAACTGTCGAACGAAAACGCTTTGTTTACGTCATATATAACACTTTTGTGGATACCAGTAATACGTCCGATTAAGAAGCACCCGGACATTTTCATATACAGTTCGAGCCGCTGTCATCAAAAGATAGCTAGTGTTAGTTTCCGTAGCATTTTGAAGATTTATAAATGTCATTAATTGAACAGAACTTGCGAATTGTCACTGAATTCAACAACAAAATTCCAGCGACTTCTTCTGAAGGAACGCAAATATTGATAACATAAGATAGTCCTAAAGGCTAACTTATGATTTCATAGAACAATACTAATAATGTGCATGCTGATTACCGAATTATATTCACCACGATTAAATATCTGTAGATGTATGTTCAATATAAATAATAATTGGATTTCATTACTATTCTTAAGCAAAATATCCTCTACTTATGTTCTCAACAACAAAATCATACAGAAAAATACAACTGCATAACTTAAATTTTAAGTATACTTATTCAGAGTTTTTATAGACTGTAAATGAAGTGGTTGCTTACTAAAAAAATTTATGGGATGCTGTCTGTTTTAGATGCGCAGGATTAGTTTCTAAGATATTTTATATTTCTTAATTTTTATTTTATTCATTACGTGTTTTTGTTTATTTTATAAGTTATTTTGTTACTTTAAAGAATAAATGTTTAGGGAAATTTGCAGAAAAATAAAATTAAACTAATAGCAATGTACTAATTATTTATTTCTTAACATTATTCCTGAATGCAATCGAGAGTAGTTAAAACTTTATAAAAAACTGATCGGTGATACAAAAAATAGCAAACATAATTCGATATTTCAGCACTGATATTTCTCAAGATTTATATATGAATTACCTGAAGCTCTTGGATAATTGATTGGTACTATGTTAAGATTAAAGTGCTGTTTCATAAAACTGAATGTTTTCTTCTTTTTACATCAATATTAAAATCTCCCATAATAATCATTAGTATGTATATCCTTGTCGATACCCGCAAAACAAGTAAAAGAAGTTTCATTTTTGCAGGCTGGTGCTCGGCTTTTCATAAAGCGCAATCTGTCACCAACATTGCAAACATATCCAAAATTAATAAATTCTCCAACGTAATCTGGTAAAGGTACACCCAAATTTGCGAATTTATTATTGGCAACAGTAGAAGAAGTTGAAGCTACTTGATTTATTTGAAAACTAACAGCTTCAGTCGGTTTTATTTTCTTATTATTATTTTCATAATATCTCTTTTTACGTTCTTTCTTTTTCACAGCTAAACGTTCTTCACTATGTTCTTTCAATAAACCTTTGTTTAATTTTTCTGCTTGCCACTTCTTCTCTATTCTTAGCGCATCTTTATTTTTCGGCATTTTATATTTATTTTTATACAAGCAAAATCTGTACGTCGCTCTCACAACCGCTCCCCGTTGACTCCAACATAGAACTAACACAGTTCTTTTTGATAAATACATGTAACCTACTACAACAGTTCACTGTAACCTCTACGGTAAGTTTTCAGATCTAAAATTTCTTTCTTTGCCAATGAGTGTTAATAAAGTTGCCCAAAATTATATTAAAAACAAAATAAAAGACATAAAATTTTCTCATCCAAAATTTTAAAAGATAAAGGATCATCTAACAGGTGCTAGCTTTCTCTAAAGTTAAATCGTTTCTAACTGGAATTAAAATACTACTTAAAATATGTTGCATACTTTCTATATTTGCTTCTGAAGTTTCCATTCAAAGCTTTTTATATTTACGAGAATACAGAACGTTTATTTATAATGAGAAACAACAGAGCATCATATTCAGTTCTATTTAAAAATTTCCTAGCTCAATATAACAGGAACGTTAGACATTATTTTTGCTTTGAAAGATTTGTGTACGATTTTTCTTTTCAAAATACGAAAATTTGTCAGAACCCGCTTTAGTCTGGTTATTTCAAATGGGAATTTTAGCTAATCATAGAACAGCTACATTTTGGATTACAATGTTTAACATTTCATCTGATAAAACCATGAAATCATATGCATAACTATGTTTATGTTGTAATATGCATAACTATGTTTATATGCATAATTATGTTTATGCCATATGTTTGTAATTTAATTCCAAAATTAAAATGCTACTTTTAATACTATAGGTGCTACATTTTAGTTTAATCGTTAGATTTTTCTTTAGTCTAATCGTTAGATTTTTTCAAATTATATTATTTTGTAAAAAAAGCTTATTTTTAAAAACCTTATTTTAAATACCTTTAAAATTTTAATTAAAAAATTTTATAAACAATACTACCGTCGAGAAACAGTATGTTTTCTGAGAAATATTATGAACTCTCAGGGAAAGTGTAAAAAGTAAAAAAAAAGTAAGAAGGATATGAAAAATGCGTTAAAATATAAAAAGGAAAAATAAAACAGTAAATAAAAATATCTTGAAAATGGCCTCAGCAACATAAGAACAAGGAACAAAATTACAGTTTTAATAAGGAAACTTTTCATTCTTAAAATTTTTTAAATAAAATTACTGCCCATCCTTGTACAGCCATTCTCCTTTCTCGTTTTTCTCGAGTCCGATGTAAACACCTCCTCCGAATCTGGAATTGTAAAATGCTTGTTTGATCGCTTCGATGATGCCTTCATTTCGCACGTGAACTAGATGACCTTTACCGCAACTATCTCTAGCAGTCTGGTAGTTCATTGGCTCAGCTTTTACAAAGAGGCAACTGCCATCGTATATAGAATAATTCATTTCCTTCTCGAAGCACTCTGAAAGATGTTTAAAATAGAATTAAATTAGCATTTTTTCATATTTATACATTTTATCGCTACTCTGAGACGTTATTCTCAGACTCAGAAGTTTAATACATTTCAAAAAATCACAACTCTTAAGCTTATAAAATACCCGGGTATAAAAAGGAAAACTAAAGTCTTAAATGCAAATTTGTAACCACGAAATTCGGCTGAAATTAACCTGACATTCTTTCTAAATAATGAACATACCTATGCGAGGCATAGTCATGGCTCTGATAAACACAAAAGAACATTGTCATACATTCAGCATACAACTTGTGACACAAAAAACAAGACTGGTCCAATAAATCATTGTACTTAAAGCAGCAGTTCTCCATGACATCATCACTTTCAAAGTAGTTCTCTTCAGTATTCATACCCTTCTGCATTCGGTGCTGCCATTGCTGGTAACAGTTCTGTAACGAGGTTTTTGGATCGCCATTCAGGAGATTCTTCGTTTTTGCCTAAACCTCTTCAGCTGAGGTAAAATGGGTTCCTTTTAAATAAGATTTAACTTTAGGAAATAAAAAAAAGTCGCTTGGTGAATAAGGAGGATGCCCCATAACAGTAATGTTTTTGCTGGTTAGAAACTGCTTGATAGATAGGGTCGCATGAGCGGGTGCATTGTCTTGATGCAACAGCCATCCATCATTCCACAACTGTGGCGTTTCTTTTTCCTACTTTTTTCATGAAGTTTTTTAGTACTTTAATGTAGTAGTGTTGATTAACAGTCTTACCACTGGGAACCCATTCAATGGTTATGAACGTGCTGCGAGTACAAAGGGGCGCTCAGCACGTTCATCATCTTTCCCACTGTCCCTTCCCCCTGAAAACCGCTTATGCCATTCAAACACAAGTGCATGAGACAAAGTTTCATGAGACGAAGCTCTGCCAAGAAAAATAAGAATAGAAGGGAAAGTTTAAAATTGAGGTAAATAACTATTTCATTAAATTGGCCGGATATCGCCAAGATGGCGTTGGTTTTGGCACCCAGTTTGGCACCAAATTTAAAGAGCAATCACCCAAAAATTGCCAAACTTGGTGTCCATTTGGAAACATTTTGGTCCGTTCCCTGTATAACTGCAATCGGTACTATAATTGATTCCTATACGTAACTGTAACCGTATTCTGCCTTCATATGTCTTTCAGTAGTTTCGAGAAGATACTAGATATTTCTCGGCGGCCGGAAGAAAACTATATAAGGCCGGAAAGAGCATCAGTTTCTCAGTTTTTAGTTTAGAGCTAAGTTCGAAGTATTGAGATAACCGTGAGAAATTCAGCTTTTAGATGCGCTTTGGATTGCGTTCTGTTTAATGTTCTTATTAGTTTGAATAATAACTACTGATTTCGCTCTATGACTATGAGAAAAGTTGTATGAGTATTTTTCGTGGCAATTTGCAGTACTGTAAAGTGTTCCTTTTGATAAAAATAAATTTTATTAAGCTATCATCAGTTCTGTGTGCATTCAATCTATTACGAACCCGTACTCACGCAATAATATATTGAATAATATTCTATTTTATGTTTTAAAGTATAATGCTGTTGTAATCACTTTTAAATACAACAAAACTTATGTTATGAGAAGGATGAAATATACCTCATTTGACTTATTTGATCGCTCTATTGTTATAAACAAAACGAAATTTTAAAATCATACGCATCTTAGAAGGACAGTGTAATCAATTAAAACAAATGAATTATATAAGTACTTTTACCTTTCTACTCGTAGTTATGTGTCGAAAATTTCAGTTAAAGCCTGAGTGTGAAAAATACTTTTCTTAATTTATCTAATCTCACTGTAACATTTATTATTACTAATGACTACTCGCTAACAGTTATTACTACTAATGACTGACTGGCCTATTTCTGTACTATAAAATATGCTTTTAAACTTTTCCTACGCACTTCTACATTTAAGAACTCTTCTGAGAACGCTTAATGCTGAGTTCTATTTGATATTTTTTGTGGAAAGTTATCATCCATTTCATTTTCGCTTTCCAACACATTTATTTTCTTCTACAATTTCATCTTCTACCTTTTTCTTTGAAGTTTGGATGTTTTGCATGTTTTAATTCATTGATATGATAAATCATCAATAATATTCTCTTCTACATTAGTTTCATCTTTTAAAAAGACTGCTTTTCAAAACTAGTTACAAATGTAGTTTTCATATGAAGTTCGGTTCCGTGCACTTGCAAGCACGTGTATAGAGTTCGAACGAAGTATTTTTTTTTTTTTCTTATTTCTGATATTCATTGATTATTCCGGTATTCATTGTATAAAATATTATTTCTCATAAACCATAGAGATAAATAAGTTTAAAAAAATTCATTATTTCTTGTTCAAGAAATTGTATAATTGCTAAGAATTAATCTTTAATTTGATTCCAAAAAACCGTGACCTTATTTTTAAAGCGGAAAACAAGTGGCATTAAGAAAGAAATTTTGTATATATTTTTGAAACTTTCTTAGAAAGTTTATTCGTTTAATTAGTAAAATCACGATAAGCAATGCTTAGAGTATTCCATTCCCTTATGTATTTACAGTACATGGAGCCTTTACTGTATTTTTAGTTTAAATTGTTAGTAAAATCAAATTGAGCTCAAACTCGTAATGTTTTAGTACAATTTCTCAACTTTCCCGCCCAAGCCTCGGGACGACATTTCAGATCAGTTTTTCTTACTGATCATTATTCATTTAAATTCTGAATCACAGCCAATCACGAATAAGCATTTTTGGATACATCATTGCAGAATTAAAAACATCAGATGTAAAAATTTATTGACTTTCATTGGCTTAGACTGCAGCTGATACTCATAGGTACTTAGACTGTTACTAACTTGCATGAATTTCTTGCTTAGTTCAGCTTTCATAAAATATTCAATTTTTTATTAATACATCGAACAGGTGTCATTTTTTTTCAATTTACATGTAAAACGTCAATAGACATGATCATGCTTCGGAAACAGATGGTTTCAAGAAAACGGCTCACCAATAGTAGTAGTCTTAGTAGCTCAGATGTAATGGAATTCGAATACCGCGCAAACACATGTCATGTGACCAGATAAAGTCACCCTGTAAACTTGTGATGACGTGAATAAAAACTTGGTATTTAGCTTTATTTTCACTTATTATTCATTCTTACACGTGCAGTATTTTTTGAATCACAGATTTTTTAAAACTCAATGGATGATTAATAATGAAATTCAATATTTTGTGATCTATTAGTGACTGGTATGTATTTGTGACTGGTAAGTGTACAGAAAAGTACAACTGAAGATGCTTCGCTCCATCTTGCTGACCTTAAACATATAGCTACAATATAGTAAAGGATATTCAAAAATGTTTTACTTTAACTCATTCGTAGTTTACCAAAGGCAGTATTATCTCTTCAGAGCTTAGCAAAGAGATTATTACCTAAATTATAACTTCCGCTTCCTTTCGAGGTTTACATCACACAAAATTTATACTTATCGCTTACTGATGCAATATTAGAATGTTTAACTAGCTATTAAATTCCTCTGCATCCCAGCATTTGTCGCGGGAAATATAGACAGAGAACCTAGAACTTAGTACCTAAAACCTTAGTACTAGCTTTCTTAAATCCTCGAGCTCAAAACTTGGTACGTTTGGTACGTTTTAATATACATTACTTTGCATACTATTGGATAGAATTAGATTGAAAAATAAGAATAAAGCATAATAAAACTTACAAAATTGTTTGATTAAGAAAGCTGATAACTGGATCCTGACGTAGCATAATATAATCGCAAAAGACATAAATTCTGGAAGGGGATCGGAAAAATTAAAAAATTTTCGCACGATATTAGAAAAATGTAACTCACTGTCTAAATTGTCTTTTTGGCAAATAATGCCCATCGCTTCGCTGCAGGGCACTGGCTTGGTTCCAAAATCCTGTTGTTGGCTTATTCCAGCGCAACGATCATTTCCTCCATCTGGCTTTTTGATCCACATTCTATAGTCATCTTCTTCTATACTTTCCTCAGTACCGTCGTAAACCCATGTCTTCGATTCTACAGGATTTAAAAATAACTCTTTTGTTAGCTCTGTCTTTGACACAACACTGACAGAGGAACTATTTTAATAAAGGTGAAATGAAAGCTAAAATAGAAATACTTAGAATTTTTTTCAAAACTGCCAATTAAAATTGGTTTTACCGGTAATTTACGACCAATTTTTCTTTTCAAAGCATTTATTGAATTTGAAGGGTAATTCGAAAGTCGCACACATCAAACACTGTGGAACAAACAAAACTGTGGAACCTCCAAAATGGATATTAGTGGCAATTTTTTTTCAATGGATGATACTCCGATACCATTATTAATCTTCTCTACACCTTACGTGAAAAATAAAAGCTTATAATATTTCAAGCAAAAATGGAGATAGATGTTTCAAGAACAAATATCAAGAATTACATTATCGCTCACTCAACAAAAGTTAAAATTACTTCGTAATTAAACTCAGCAGTCTGCCAACTAGCCCTTAACTTGTCCAAAAAGGGAAGGAATTATAGTGGCAAAATACCTCTAAAACCGTACGTGTGCCATTTAACCTTTTAGCAAACATGGGCGTTTGAAAAACATTCGCACACATGAGCGGTGAATATTTATCTCATGTTACCAGGTAACCAAGAAAGTTAGTGCGGTTTTTGTCACTCATCAAAAACGCTCCACAAAAATCTTAAACACCCATTTTATTAATTCAGAAGTCAAACAACAAAAATCAGCGTTATATTTTCAAAATTTCACAGGACTAGTTTCGATGGTTTTACCGAACCACCATCCTCAGCTGCAAAACCGCAAATGAACAAGATAGGAAATAATGATTAGATAAGATAGGAAAGCCTGGACAAGAATAAGCAAGTGGCGCCATCTGTTGATGAAATCAGAACTAAAACATAATTTCTTTAAAGGCCGAAGGCAAAGATGGATTGGTATTAGGATCGTTAACTAGAACAGAACGATTTTTTGAATGGGAAATGCCTCTAGAAAATCAAGTTCTCCAATGGAAGATGCTTTTTGAATAATTTTTCTGCTTTCAACATTGTTGGTCAACCTTCCTGTAAGTTTCGTTAAAGGTATCCTAGACACTTGACGTAGCGACTGTTCTGGTTTACGCACTGTCACATATGGGGTCCCAATCTTGAACCTGAACTGCCTCTGCATTCTGCTTACTGAACTATATGGTGCAGTTTTCATTCTTGGGCCCTTCTTCTCTGACGAGATTACTCATCAAGGCCCGAAAATGCGTACCTTCAAGAGAACCCGTTACTGCGAACTTTTATAGCAACAAGTCATAACTTACTAATTACTACTGTATAAGAACTAGAATGTTTAGTTATAAGATGGTGAAATAGATATTCCATATATAGCGAAGAATGAAGGAACTGCTATGTGCTCACTTTTATGATCGGCTAATTTCGAGAAGCTTTCCGAATGCCTCGCTTCCTATTCAATGGATTTGAATGCTTGTGATTTGTGGTGAAAGAAATTTCTGAAAGATCGTATCTGTGGAAGAAACAGATGAACTCTTCCTGAACTGAAAAAAAGCGTAACACATAGTTTCCTAAAAAAAACCCTTCGCGCGACTAATTAAACATGGCAATAACGAACAAATAATTGATGCAAATTGAATGCGATTTGACCATATGTTGGGATTAAATAAAATTTTATGTTTCCAATTTGCGTTTCTTGTTCTTTATGAGTAATATTTTCAGGTAGTGGTTAAAATTTGAAGTATTTTTTAATGCAGTTTTCTTTTCCTTGGGCTAACGTACGTACAAAGTTTCAATAAAATACATCAAACAGAACGGGTTCTATATAAGTCTGGACAGGATCGCTTTAATTATAACCACCCAATATTTTTTCTGTAATTTTTACATAGATTATTTTGAAACAATTTTTAACCAGAATTAAACATATTTCATAAATATTTATTCTGTCATGTACAAAACTGTTAGAGGGCGTATTATTATACTTTGCATGGAAAAACATCGAGCGGGGGTTGAAAGAACTCCCACGTCAATAACACATTCTCATGAAAAAAGATAAGAAAATAACTCTGATATATTTTTCATCTACGCCATCTGATAAACGGCTTTGAAAGATCTGCTTACAATTAGTTTTTATATCTACTTGTGTTTGCAAGTTAAATAACAGGTGCCTCACATGGGTGTACTCCAACTGCGCGAATGAAAATCCCCCGGGTCTTGCTGTAGTCCAACTGCGCGAATCAAAATTTCTTCCCCCTGTTGCCTACAGGGTTACAATTTAACTTTTCGAAGCCAATTGTAGCCAAGAGGAAAATAAAAATAAAGAAATAGAATTACATATCACAAGAATAAGTAAAAAATATCTAACAAGCAGGCTAATTATTTGAATAACAGTAATAAATGCGAGAGCTAACAAAGAAAATAATAAAAAGTATTGGTAAACATACATATTAGCATTACAAACATCTTTCATTTATTATAATAATATCATAAATTAAATAATTATAAAGCATACAAATTATATTTTTTATAAATTACACCAATAATAGTCACGATGTCTGAACTACTAGACTGGAAAATTTCATAGAGTTCACTGGCGTGCAAAAGATTATTCCATATCAAAGTGTGTTAAAGTGTGCTAAAAATATTTTTGTTAATTAAAGTAATAATGTAAATGTTTGCAGACATTAATAGTTAAATTTAAAAAAACTTAGCATGAAATCTATTCTAACAACATTACTATGGAACACTGACGTATAAATTGTAAATAAATTTAAATTATTATGCTAAGAAGTTTTTCTAAAATTTATCTAGAAGAAAAGAATTAGATAAACAGTACTGCAAATTAATATAAACAATCTATTATAACAACATTACTATGCGTTTGGAACACTGGCGTATAAATTGTAAATAAATTTAAATTATTATGTTAAGAAGTTTTTCCTAAAATTTATCTAGAAGAAAAGAATTAGATAAACAGTACTACAAATTAATATAGTCAACCAGTCTCAATAAATAAAACTTTATTTTTTAACCAAAAATTAAAAATTGGATGCAAAAGTTTGTGTAATACACATAGAAATATCTGAACCTATAATTAATTAGAAATGTATAATTAAATTAATAACAAGCTCATTAACAGTAACATTAAGCTTAATTTCATTCAACCTAAAACAAGCAATCGATCAAGAGCTCCGCATAACTGAAGTTTTATTCTGGAAAGTATGTTAAGAAACGTAGATGGAGAAATAATCCTTAATTTATTGATATCCATATAAACTCTATGCTTTCGGAAAAAGTTACATATAATTTGCACCGAGGAATCAATCACCGAAAACGAGTTAATTTCTTTCCTTATTTTTTCTTATTAGAGGGATTTGTAAAAGGTATGCCAAGGTGAAAATTTTTACAATATTTTTAAAAAATAAATTAAAAAAGTACTTTTACTTCATGAACTGAAATTTCTACGATACATTTTTACACAGTAAATAAGTACAAAAAAAGAAAGAGCTGGAAGATCTCTGGGAATAGAAACTCGAGTCGAACTACTAATGTTTAGTGACTTTTCCGCTTGATCATAAGACCTTTTGAAATTAGGCTGAACAATATATTAAGGAAAATAGAAGATACAGATAAGAACAAAAGTGGGCTGAATTAGAGATTTACATGTTTGGCGAATGAGTTAAACTTATCTGTAAATGTAGCATAAAAGCCTCAGTGAAGAAGGCAATGGCAATCTAAATATTTGCAATCTAAACGTATAGCATTATCAGTATCTGCTACTAATTTTAATACTGCTGAAAAAATTATAAATTGATTATATTATAAATCACATGAACTCTTTGCATTATAAATTACAACAGTTAGAAATATTATTAGCGTGATTTAGCGACCCTCTTCGTTAACAAATAATTTCAAATAATTAATTTTACAAGTAATTCAGCCAGAAACTAGGTTAGAAAATAATCTGCATGAAGTTTAAGCTTTACCAAGGTGTTCAAAAATCTTCTGTTAACTAGATTTATGATGCAATAATTTGTAAAAATTATCATTTAAATATAAATTGGCATAAATACAATACAAAATATATAAATTCTACATACATGAAAACTTAAATAAAGTGCAAAATGTGTGAAAAAAGAATGGATTAAAAGGGAACTGAAAATCCCAAGGTATTAATATAAGGGAGTTGGAATTTTTTTTGTTAATTATGAAAATTCTGCAGACGCTCATAAGTATCAATTTATTAATTAAATGTGTATTAGCAATTAAATGTATGCCAAAGTACATCAGGCAGAGTAACTGGAGAACAGAATAAATATTTAAACGTTTCTAGCATTAAAATGTGAAATTTGTAAGAAATTTAAATAACCTTAAAATAATTTCAATGACCAAAAATGGAAAACTTAATGGGGCATGTATTGCAATAATATTAGTGTAAATTTGGAACCACTTAAGAAATCCAATTTTTAGATTTAATACAGAGAATTTTTTTAATTAAATTAGAACTGTTTACCTAAAATGGTAAATTTGAAAGTTAAAACCATTCTACTATCTAAAAAGATCTTTTAAGATTTATCTAGACAAGAAAATTCTTATTTAAGTTACGGTACAAATCCGATATTTGATAGATTGATTATGTATCCGTTTTATATATGTCATTAATCTATCAATTTTGGTTTTATTACTTTACCAAATTTATTTGATAACTCGAATGAGTAAAAAGAAAAATTTGAATAAGAAATTAAGGTGAGAAATTGAGATATTGCTGGAAAATGCTGATCTAAAACAAGAAGATATTGATAAAAAAAAAAGATTTAAAAGCTTCACTTCATCTTAGGTTATCAAAACACTAAGTAGCAAAAAATGTAAATTTGTCACTGAAATGCTTAGGCTAATATTACCGTAAATAGATATCGTTTGAACGAGAAGTTAAGAAACTTATAAAAATAAGTCTGAAAAACAGCGTACAGTACAAAGTCCGAAATACGGACTCGTCGGGTCATCGACGATTCCGGATTT